AATATGAAAAATCGCTGCTATTTGTAATAAAAGAGGTTTAGGATTTTGAAGTACGCTTCTTTTCAACTTGTGTAGCATAAAGGATGGACCAACATGGCAAAAATGCAGTGCTAATGGAGTAAGGTTGCGCAGAGTACGCGATATTTCGCGCTGAGTTAGAGCCGCGGATTCCGAATAGCGAAAGTTCCCTACTTAACCGTGTTGAAACCTAAATATGACAAGTAGAATCATAGCACGTCGTCCATTCAATCCACACTTCAAGCAGAAATTACGGAGGGATTGGAGGCACCTGTGACAGCGCTGCCACTTTGCTGTCGCGCGAGGGACTCTGACACCAGCCTAAGGTTTTGATAAGGACGACGCAACCTTGGCTTTTTGGCAGCTCTTTCTTTATGAAATCAAGAGTGAGCAGCGCGTCGAATAGCTATTTCTGCCACCTGAGATTTCCCTTCTCCGTAAGCCTATATCTCGGGTCAACACAGCATGAGTACTCACACAGTATTGATAAAACGACGAAATATTTTGAATCAAAAAGCATTTTCAACTGATAACGGATTCCGCTTAAATCCTTGTTCATGGATTTTGAACGCTCGAGAAAAAAAATTATACTCCCGAATGTATTGTCTAACCCTATTAGGAAACCATGCATGTGAGATCTGCAGACGTTTCAAACGATTCTATATGAAATGCATGGAGGGGACAGAAGCGAAAAGGGTAATTAACTGATAAGAGCAGCAAGCGGAGCGCAGGAAATGGAAACAATCAAATCATCAACTAGAGCATGTTCGAAATAAATTGGAAACGCAGCAAATAGCTTCCTGTGCAGGTTAGGAGTATCAGAGTACGGAGTCATGGCTGGTCCAAGGTAATTGCTCAGGCGCGTCTATGAAATTCCCCAGAAGCACGCTGCAAAGCTGCTTGAAAAATACGTCGTATGCCTTCGTCCTAGTCAAAATACGAAAGAATGATTCTGAAGATGGCAACTGCGGAGCTTATTACGATTTCATTAAGAATTCACACGATTCATTCACGGTGCAGTGCAACATCTCTGATCATAGAGTGCTCGAGCCGAGGAGGAGGCTTAGGCGTGGTGAATATGAATAGAACCGATTTCAACGAAGCGTTGAACTGGAAATTCAACAATCTCGAACGCGCCGTATCGTTCTGGTGATTTTTCTGTTGATATCTTGATGAGCCGTAACGGGTAACACATGTACCTTTACATTTAAACGGTGGCCGCTAGTACTCGTAGGTAGGATCAAAAATTTTACGACTCTCCCCTTTCAGAGGGCATCGTTGCTATCCCAGTTTTAGCCACCATCGATTTCTCTCAAAAGAATCTGTTAGGTCATGTCACAGGGGTAATAAATTGATCATTAACCGGTAAAGCTCTTGCTCTTGAGTGCGCAATTCAATCGTCTGTGGTGAGTAGTCGCAGTAGCAGTTTAAGGCAAAAGTCAGGCTCGTGTTTGGGCATTATGGCGCCTGAATTGAGTTGTAGAGATGAGAGGTGGAACGACAGTGAAGAAAAAACGCAAAGAAACCGTCAAGAAGACCGAATTCGGAACCCTTCCCTTCTAGCAGTGAAGGAGGCTTGCTCGGGGGAGAGCCACGTCCAAACGAGTTTTCCGGATATGCTAGCCGTTCCATCGGTTGATACGGCAATCAACCTAGCTGATCTCACACGTTAGGCCAGCCACGCACAACATCCCCCGGTGGGCGGGAGCAGCTGATGAAACGAACCCATCGCTGTAAGTAGTAGGCCAGAGGCCTTGACGGCGCGCAATCTCGAGTCAGGAGTGTGGCATCACCCCTCTGAGCGCATTCCCGGAAATATTAGTGATGTAAAGGCCTTCTATGGTCACCTAATCCTGACTCGTGGCTTTAAAACAGGTTCTCCTTCGCCACTTTGCCATGCTTGGTACCTTCAAATTTTGTGACCGGTATTTATGATTACCCCGAAGTTTGCAGAAGACCAGTGAATTTGTGTGATAGAAGCGTGATAAATGTGCACTTGACAATAACAATCCGTCATGAATAAACATATGACCATTGCAATGAACGAGAAAAGAAAACGAGTTGGAAGTAAATAAAACCATGAATGACGTTGCAAATAAATCTGTTGGAATAGATGATTTGTGTTAACATCAAGGATTCATTGGGGGTCGATCAGGTGCGAAAAGCTAACAACCAAAAGCTCCCAGGTCGCCATGGCCATTCAAGGAGTGATGTATACGCCTAGATGTGCCTAGAACGCTGATCTCAAATCCAACTTCCAAACCTGCTAAACTATTCTCTGACGAAGTTATGAAGCAAAACAGCGCAACGATAGCGGTCGGAGATCACAGTCAAATGTTGTAGGATCGGTCCCTTATTGTGTTTACTGTTTTCCATAATTTAGGAATACAGCTTAAGGGTTCTTATTAGCCTTTGACTGAATTCCTGAAGAAAAATAAAAAAAAACAAAACAGTAATTACTATGAGACAGCGATCCTACGACATTTTGACTATGAGTCCCGTAGCGCTGCGTTGCTTCATAACTCCGTTCAAAAAATCTTCAGCAGATTTGGAAGGTGGATTGGAGATCAGCTTTCTAAGGCACATCTGGGCGTATACTTCACTTATTGAATGGCCATGGCGACCTGGGAGCCCCTCTTTGTAAGTGTTATGAGATGTTAAAAATAATGGTGAAACAGTGGATCAAGCAGTTATTAATGTGGAATCGCAATCAGCGAAAGATGAATTTGGTGCTAAAAGGTTTGAAGGTGATCTAGCAGCTCCGCTCAAAACGGTAGAATTTCTGTGGCGAACGCACAAACGTAAACAAGCCGGACGAATTTCAGCAGAGGCCAATGCGTAGAACTCATACAAGATTAATTCGTGAAAGTTTCGGCCTAATGGACGTGTGAATGCCATGAAAAAAGCAAAATCCATTAACACTTGTGCGCTATGAATGTGCTATTATATCGATTCCCCGTCATCGACAGTCAAGCCATAGAATGATCAAAAATAGTAGAATAAACTGATTGCACTTATAACTCAAAACGACCGGGCCATGAAAGCCCTCAAGGCTAGTGAGCTTCATTCTTGTTTTTCATCCCCTTCCTTTTCGTTCGGTGCCAAGGCGCTGAGTAAAGTCTATATACTCTACGTTTCGGCACCACACTGTATACCCAGTGAACCGCGCACATATCCACTGAGTTTTTATAAATGTGGCAATAAATTACAAGGACTCCAAGCCATAAATTAACCTAAAGGCAGTGAACACGGTGGCTGAAGGGCGGTGCCGTCTTGCTAACGTCATTGCGCATCATTGATGGAAGAGGGATAAGCGGCTGTCTCGACCAGGGTCAACCCTACGTTGTTACTAGTAACAACGGGGGGGGTCGTACCTGGTTGAGTTTATAGGAGGGGGGGGGTCGTATCCGCTTCAGTCGCGTGAAAGTACATGTGAGTTTGTGGTGAAACTCGAATTTTCACGAGTAGTAGGCTAGGTGAGTTGGGAGCGCACGAGAGAAAAATTTGCCGTTTCAGGCGAATGTTTTGCTGTTTATTAGGTTTGATAACCTCCCCCCGACTCGACGGCATTTTTGGAGGGAAAAGTGGGCGGAGTTTGGTGGGTTGAGTGGTACCAGAATTAAATATGTACTATAGAGAGGAATATGGTGGTCGAGGGTCGAAAAGGGGGTCGTAAAAAGTCCACCTTGGGGGGGGGGTCGTAAAAATTTTTGAAAAAGTAACAACAATAGGACTGACTCGGGTCTCGACCACACCCCAACCACGCTTAAGTCCATCAATGACGTCAAATAACGTCACCAGACCCGCTTCACCCTCCTGCCATCGTGCTCATTGCCTTTCATAAATCACTTTCTATTTTCTCGTTTGGGACAAAAAAAAACTCAAGATAGAGCTGAAGTGGGAACTCCAAACGCCTCTGAAAATTACCACACCATTTTGTGACCACTTCTTTCAGGGGCGTGTTAGGACCTAATAAAGGCCAACAAAGACACACACTACCACTTACACCTGAAAACATGATTTAAGAGGGTATGATTCGATATCAAATCGGTTTCTCCCTGTGGAAGAGAATAACGAGCTCCAATCCGCTTTAAATGCTGACAAACGTCATAAGTTTTGAGACTTTAGATAGTCTTGCACTACGCCCATGCCGAAGAGCACCAAAAACCTTCACATAATGCCTTCGTCACGCTAAACCCCTCCTGAAAGCTGGATTTCTTGGGATTCAAAAGCTTCACAAGTTCCGTTCCGGGATAGAATTGAGCGCTTGAACGACGAAAATTCTCGTTCTGTGGGCTGTCGCATAGTGCAAATATTATAAAATAAAACAGATACTTAATCGAAAGCTTGCCCATGCACGTAAAAAGAAAGAGGAACCACCAGGGTCAACCGTCCGTCCCCACTATTTGAACGAGAAGGCCGCACTTGTGATTTTTTCCAGGGAGGGGGAGGTGGGGGGAGGGGGATTGTTGAGTGTTGAGCAAGTTTAATAACTACCTTTGAGAAAAGTGCGGGCAGAGATGGTAAAAAGGGGATGATTTCAATGGGGTTTTCGTTAATTTTGGCGAAGCCCTCCAGCTTGAAGACCATCCCTGAGGGGAAAGTGGGCGGAGTTCGAGTGTGAAGATTGGTCTTGGAACTTCTAGAACCTTCTAGAACCTGTCGTAATCGCTACCTTAAACTTGTCTGTATGATGCGTTTCCAATCAAATCATGATATTTCTTGTTAGAGTGTCGATCATGAGGATTAACACGTCCGAACGACCTTCACTTGCACTCCAATAGCGTCCCCACTACGCTGCTTACAATTTTTTCTAAGGTACGAACCCCATTATCCAAATATCGGCTGTCAACGCCCTGTCCAATTTCTCAGCTTCTATTTGAACCTATTGCACGGCGCATCCATCACTCTTCAACATAGAACAAATATCTTCATTATTTACAGAGATACGACTCTGAGCAAAAAATAAAGGCGGTGCCTTACTAAGAAATGAGGACGTAGTCTACAAAACCCGTTCTTCTGATTTTCCCTTCGTGTTCCAATTTTCTCAGGTGTAACTGAATAGATCGAAAAGCGGCGACATGTACGTTCCGTGGAAGGCCTTTGAAGAGGGCTCTCGTCACTTCCAAAGGATTCGCTCGCTCCACCTGAAGCACTCTGGTAAACGAAAGCATATAATTTCCTTGTAAAAGTTTGAGTTGCTGCTACATAAATATCATTTTTGGATGTGCATAAAATTTGCAGGAATAGCAACAGTTCGGCGACTCACAACAAGTAGTTAGTACCAATGAGTCCGGCTTCGCCATTCCTCACGCAGAGACTTGCCGTTCTTCTCGAATAATTTTAGCAACTGTGCACAGGCAGACTTGGACTGCCGGAGTGAGGACTATGTGTTTTTCTGCGTCTTAGGATCATTTTTCCTTTGTAACATGCTGCGTTGACTCGGATAAGGAGCACTCATAAGGAGTGTGACAAGAGGTGTTCAGCGGAAAAGCGGAAAGTCTTCAGTCCGGTCTCGCAAATTTTTGGTGGTAATTTTTTTTCATGATATACAGCTTGATCGTGGTGAAGTATGTTCATGGAATCATTGTTCTTCTTTCTCGCCAAGCTATTGCTCGGTTTGATGTTGACCGCTTTTTGTTTGCAAGGGCCTGCCGTAGTCGCATGAGCTTGAGCTTCACGTAGAACATTCACGTGCACACGAAGTCGGTGAAGTGAAAATTCAAGGAAAGAATTAATGATATAGCCAGAGAGTGGTCACTTCCATACACTTAGATGTCCTCTTCCGAATAAATAGAGTAGTACCTTTGAAGATCAAAAGCTGAAAAGTGGGGTGAAAGTGAATCTCTACTACATTTATATTGCAACAACTAAGATGAACCGCCAACTGATTTGTCGGTATGTGACTCTATCTTAGAGAGGGTATATTTCCTTTCTCAGACCTCCAACCTTATCGTGGAATCGTCATTCAAATCTTTACGGACGGTGCTAGTGTACTAAGGCGTAGGATTGGTTCATTTGATTTAGTAAGGAATGTGCCTATTAAACTCGTCTATGATAAGTGGCCGAAGTTCAGTTAGAGGATTCGATTACGATAAAGAGGGAGCGCAACAGGGAAATATATGCGTCACACGAAGCAACACATTGCTTGGCTGCAAAGGAAGCTATGGGGCTTTCACGACGAAGAGTGCGCTGGTTGCTGAGCACTGTTTGGAAATTGCTACACAACCAAGTGCTCCACCCACTATCTCAGAGGGTGATTTGGTCTGGGGTGCCAACCAGGGTGAATATCGCTTGAGGATTCCTCAACGGTACGTCGAGGATTACAAGCCAGTTTTAACAGTCCGATGAGTGACCGCTACCGTAATCCACGTTGGCACTGGAGCGCGCAGTTACACTACTGCTGTGTACCCACACGTTTCAGCTCTAACGTGAGAGGGTATAATGCCTTGCTGGCGAGTGCACAATACCCCCAACCACCACAGCCGCCCTTGGGTGATTATCCAAAAATACACGCAGCGCTCGCCTCGCCACTTGCGCGGCGAGGCAAGCGGCTGCGCGCGCTTCGCGCGCAGGGCAAGGGAGGTTGGCCTCGGGGTGCTGCCCAACCACTTGCCGACAAGTTCGACCGTCTGCCATACTCCTCCTATATACCAGCACGGACGCTCCGTACAAGAGCCAGGTTCTATCACGCCCATTCTGTCGCCGTGGAGTGCGCGGAAAAACGACAAAAGGGCACTTCGAATTCTAATCGATGACACGTGACGTTGCGCGCCAGTCAGTCACGTGTTACGGTTGCGGTCACTCACCGGACTTTGTAATCTCACTAATTCGAGGATTCACTGCCCGGTCAGACACGATCTCCCGCGCGAACATTCACACTCGCCATGCGCGTGCCGTCTGTGCTCTCCGTGCGGATGTTCACTCTCGGCACTACTCTCACATGGTAGAGGGCTATGGTCGAGGAAATCCTCGACCGTTAATCACCCTGGTGCCAACGGTGGCACAACCGGAGCAACTCGATTGGAGCGTGGTTCGGCATGGTGCCACCAAACGCGTTGCTGTGAACTCGTCCATACGTCAGCCGTCCTATTCGCTCCCCCTCCTTGAGCGAAAATCAGCGGCCAAATAAGGGGTCCCGTTTAGTGTTTTCTTGACGGATTTCTCTACTTTTTCCGACATTGGCGTACCACTGAGCACTCCCACATCCACTTGGTACGACCCCCTCCGTATGTAATAGTTGTGTACACGCAATTCATGACCCAATTTTTATCCCTTTTTCCTTTTAATTTTAGCGATAGCTGTTAAAGTTCGTTTTTCCCAATGGACATGTTGTGTGATGAGACTGATAATGGATTGAAAATGGAGAAAAGCAGCTCGGAGCTTACTTTTAAACAATACAATTAAAACTGAATGTAGAACACTCAATCGCAGCCCCAACAAAGGACAACTCCGCTGATCAAAGTCGGCGGTGAGTCTCGGAAGTAGGGAAACTAGCTCCATTAGGGTTGAATTTTCATAAGATACGAGGCGTCAGACGAGGCGCCGAGGGGATGATTACGGAGCACTTGACGATCAATCTGTCCTAATGATCAAGTTATAGGAAAGAAAGCATAAATCAAAACGACAGCGCCAACAGTATAAGAAGCTGCAACTCTTCGTACAAAGCCGGACGTGCCTCTGGATGCCACTGCGACTCGACATGAATCGCTCATGAAGCTTATCCTTGACGCCAAGCGCTTCCTCTCAGCGCTCAGCATCGAGTCTCATGCGATAAGGGGAGGGGGCATGTGGTGCTACAGTTGCCGGCTACAGAAATTAAAATTTCCGATTTTTTGAAGGGGAGGTATCCTCCACCAAGATTCCCACTGCAGGGAACGACCACCCTACAAGCTCAACCAAATACGGTCCCCCCGTTGGTACTTGTCGCAACAGAGGGTTGACCCTGCTCTTCCCACCAGAACCTATCGTAATAGCTGACCTTAATACGTCATTTACACCATTTTTTCATTCTGTTTACGTATAACATCTATATGGCGGCCGAGAACGTTCAGAACGTGTCAGCGCCGGTATCGGACTATTCCTTTGCGCGTTCTCTGAAAGTACTGATGCTGAGAAAAATATTCTTCGCTCGGTTTTATCAGCCACTTCAATCACTACACGTGCTCGTTGAAACTGTTGAAAAAAGCGCCCACATGAGTGCTGGAATTCAAAAAAAAACAAGCGATCACACCTCACGTATTTCGTGAGAGCAAATATAAATCTTCGCTATCGATTATATGAAACACAGAAACACCAGATTCGAACAAAGCAAATTGAACTTTGGATGCGCCATGCAATTTAATTGTTTTCGTAATCCAAGACGCATGTTGATAAATAGCCTTTATACAATTCATGAGCTAACGCAACTCTACAAAACTGTTGCTTTCAGGGACTGTGCCACCTCTTGCTCAGTGTATTTTTGAAATTAGCAAAAAAAAAACTGATGAGAAAGCTTCTGAAGATTCAATTGATTTCAGTGAATATCTATAAAACTTAATTTCATATCTGAGGGATGCTGCTCTGCATATGAGCCACTTTACCACAAACATTGGCATTCAGGGTCGAAAAGAATGGCCAGTTACTCCCCGAGGTAAAAACTAGAAACGAAACAAGACGAATTAAAAAGAAGAGGTTAAAAGGTAATTTGGGTTTTTGAAGACTCACCTCACGGAGGTAATTTAAGATTTGCCCATCTCGTTTTTCCCGTCGTTCAATGTATTCTTCAATTTTCGCTTTTGGATCTGTGATCAAAGGGCCGTGGCCAGGGCAAATAATCTGAATTTTCACAAAATTTGAAGAGCTTCTGAACATACGGCATTTCTATAAAAATTTCAAAAATACTCTTAGAAGAACTAAAAAAAAACTGTGATGATATGAAATGATAGAGAGTATAACCAACCTTACAGTCAAGTAAGAGCAGTTTTCTTAGGGATTTCATATAGTCGCCAAGATCTTCGAATATTGTCGAACCTTCCCCTAGAAGTGAAGTTTGGAGATTTTGAAGGACCAATCGCTAAACACTCGCTAAAAGCAGGCTGTTTTCTTACCTAGTATACAGTCACCACTGAACAGTATGCCTTCCTCTTCATAGAGCACTGATATATGATCTGATGTATGACCTCTAGAACAATTTGTTTAGTGCTTTGTTTGTTTTCTTTCCCTATTGTAGTGCCCTATATTTTTAATGTGTGCCACGGCTTTAACTTTGCAACACGCTAAAAACGCACTATCGTCTGTTTTCTGCTTCGGACTAGCACGGATGTGAAGCGCTTCTTCCTCAGAGGAGAATTCACCATAAGGTTGAAGGCTGAAGAATGGAGAACTACCCTAGTGAAGATAGGCGCCCTCTACCCCTCCCCCTCGAAAGGTGCGGACCGTCACACAATTCCCCGAGAAGGATGTGTCCCCGGCGATCTGCCAACGCATCCCGCGGCGCTATCGGCATGGTACACCCATCAACTGGCTAACCGCTTGCCGAAGTTCTATGCGTTTAGCAGATAGAGCGTTTGCAATAAGTGGCCAGCATCGATCAAAAACAACGGGCAAAGAAAACTCATTCGTTCATGTTTTTCTTCATCCCGGCACCACTGACCACCTCTACCTTGATTCTAATGGGGTGACTCCTAATTGTTAACTCCACCTGACCGGAGTTAAACGCCATGTTGAGCAATTTCGAAAATTCTACATTTCTCACCATCTCCTTTGGATGTGGTTCCCCCCTTTACCTACTACTACTTACCAAATCACGAAAACTGAGTTCCCACCTAATTTTTTTCGACGCCTGGATACTTCTTCGCTCAACGCTTTCTTTGTTTTCGGACCGTTCTATTATTACAGGTGAACGATCTCAGCATATGGGTGAGGTATTTATAATGAACATCCCAACTCACTACTCCTTGGACGGCTTATACAATATAGCACCTAGCTGAAGTGGTGTAAAGGACCAGCTAATGGTGTTGAGGCGTTCGTGGGCCTCCACAAAAATTTTGAAATTGTTATGTCTTTGACGAAATGAGTAGAAGCTTTATTTGTAGGATCAGACGAGACTAAAGTGAATGCAACCATACTCGCGAAGGTTTATATTGGGATGGTATGCCGGGTTGCCTTCTTTGACTTTAATAATGATGGCGATGTACAGATGGTAAGAAAGCCTGAGCCCGCTCGAGACTTTTTTGTGCTTACTCTTTTATTCATGTATAATGGAATTTACTGCACAATATATCACCAATTGTTACTCCACTCGCATACCCCAAGCGTGGGGTAGTGGTCAGCAAAAAGTTCCATCTAATGACAGGTTAGCGACCTCCTCCAAAAACTGAGCAGATGAGAGTCAACCGACATTTGTCTGACCGCTCTTACAACTTCTTTTAAATTTTGGGATTTCTTCGCTCGGGATGTCTTAAGGGGATGAGTAGATGATAATTCAGAGTGTGGCAATGAAGGGGAAATAGATGGATGGAGGAACGCGCGCCCAGACCAGCTCTTCCAATTGCTGCACGGGTCTTTCTTTAGCTTGTGGGCCTGGGGGTCATTCGTGGAGTAGGCTGAGACAGCAGTTCCGTCTCGAGTCGTTTTTCTTGAACAGGTCGCTAGTTTGTAGAGCTGACTGAGCGTACTGCTGCCGGTAGCGTAGGTCTTTACGGAGCATCTCATACATGACAGCTTCCTTACGAATCCAGAGTAGAAAAGGAGGAGAAGCTTTTTGGTGAAGGTCCGATTTTGCTTTAATGTCGCCCAAGCCTCCCCTTCGAGGGAGCCAACGGCCTGTGCTTCGTTAATAATTGTAAAGACCCAACTTCTCAATCTCTTCGTAATCACAGCCTTCGCAAAATTCCTTTCGGTGCGACAAGAAGTAGAAAACTGAACAAAATGGCTAATCCGCTGAACCGCGTCTTAATTCGGTCCAGATATGGGGAATCCATCGACTCGGTCTTCCTGTGGCGAGGCGTTGAAGGGAATCGGGGACTGGGGTGGGTGCACCGAGTTCTTATCACCAAGGCTGCGGTGCTAACCGTCCGGATCCTCGTCTACAGCGGCCTGAGAACGGTGAGTCTTCCACCTTTTTGTGGCCTTCTCAACCTTGTCTTTCTCTTTGAGAAGCCTGTGTCTCCTCCTTCGAAGCCTGCCCGAAGCTGAGCTTTGGCACTGAAGCAATGGAAGTGGTGTCCATTCCAGTGCAATGCTGATAAAGTCGAGAGTTTACCACTGCTCCATGTGCCGCAACGCCGATTTCATGCTCGAAAAGTGCTCTTGTGGAACGTCGCGCCCTCATTCATTACCCTTAGACTACGCTTTTTTTAGAAAATAAGTTATCATTGTGTAAGTAAACGCTCGCTCCTAAGCAACACTAAGCATCTCTGTAGAAATAGGGCGACTCGCGCTTTGTTTGAGCCTGGGATTCGATCGCAGGAGATCATATGGCCGCCGGCAGTCGGCCTCCTCACTGATTACCACACTATTCTCCGCATCGAATTAAACATTGTTGAACAGTTCAAGATCCATCGTCACCAGTACAGTATTATACTATCTCATTCTCGAACAAGGCAATGTCCGTTGGGACGCGCTTGAAAGAACTGCACGCCGCCACTTTGTAGAAGTGCTTACTCCCCTTAACCGACAGCCTGCGACCACCGGCTGCTCTCTCCTCCAACGAATTTTTGCGGTTTTTATGCTTGCAAAGTTGCGAATCTAGTCCTAGTAAGTATTCTACTTCCACTTCCGCATCAACAGAACTTGACAAAACTCGCAGAGATCTGGAATTTCCAAACGCAAGATCGTAAAACCGCTGTCGTCACTAACTGAGCTTGGCCTGCGTAAAACCTCCATCCCTTCCTCGGTTGTGCTTATGTTTCACCTGCTTTCATAGATGATACGAGGGGAATATTAGAATCGTTAACACAAATACGTAATAAAGTGTCGAAGATTCATGACACTACCTATCTCGGAGTTGTGCACACTAATCTCGTGCCCCTATGGAACGACGCACTATCCACTTTCTCCAGCGTAGGCTGCGCTATAGACCGTCTAGTATTAGGTCACACCTCATTCAACACATGTCCACGGTTTATTTCGATATAATGCACAGCAGAAAGATAAAAAGCTAATACTCTTTGGTGTGATCAAGCGAATCTTGTCCGTTGTTAACGACCCGTCCGCGTCTAGAAAATATCTGGACACGGGCGCAGGCTTCTTCTTTCAAACAAGTATATGACACCTGCCTTTTGATGCTCATTAAGGATGATTCACTGAATGTGTCCGTAGCGCGTTCCTGAAACGAGTAGGGGTTCAGGATTCGATAAACGCTGAGGTCGCATGGCTGCAGTTAGAGAAAATACGAGCTGATAAGCAAAAAGAGGCACCTCATTCCGTTCGACTCGAAATACTCGCGAGCACATATGAGCTGTGTAGTCTGGTATCGTCATAGATGATTATATCGTTATTGTAAGTTTTCACCTACTGGCTATTACCTTTGTCAATTTTTTCGCTAAGAACAAGCCATAAACTTTGAGAAAAGCCGGAGGTTTTTTCCGACATGAGCCATTTAAGAGGCGACAGCCTCGAAATCCATCGCTCATCCAACATAATCATCTCAATGTGAACCCACGTGCCTATCTCGTGATCCAAATTCGAGCAAGTTTCATCGATTCGCGTAAAGCAACAGTCAGGCAGGGTTTCAAACTACTTGGTCCATAAGCGCGGAGTCAAAACTATGCCCAGCCCCCACTAAAGTTTATAGGAAATGTCTTTTTATGTTTCACAACATAGCCTTAAAAATGCGCTGGAAGGGTCGAAGTCCTCTTGGAGGGGCGGATCACCCATAAATGCGGCAGATCGACCGAAACAATTCGCTGTGCATGAAGCCGCTGTGTCGACTCAGCGGTCGTCTTGTGGGACCGCCACGCGTGTACTGAGGACTCGATTCATAATGAACCCAATTGAAGTGCTTCAATTTTGCGATTGCTGGCATAATAAGTTATGTATTCTCAAGCTAGCATGGCTATTTGCCAGCAGTCACTGGGACGCGTCATGTATACTGCAGGTTCGGTACAACTCGTCCAACACACATCTCTTTACAACGGCCCGGGGGAGTCCATGTCAGCCCGCTGCCCCTGACCGTTTTTTTCTACTTTTTTCTATCTACATTGACCAACTCTAACCTGCAACGTCATTAATATGGTGGTCTTACCCGCGAATTCGTTCCTGATTTTGCTTAATCCAAAAGTATTCACTGTCTGACTTTGGCCTCAGCCGTACAATACATCAGAAATTTGTTTATAGAGAGGGCCCAGTTTGATAGTCTTAAATGCTCGCTATGGCAGAGAAAACAATTGTTTTACTACACGCCACATATTCGATTCTGGCTCATCCATCTGGGAGTAAAATGGATATTCAACAAGCCAATGTCGCTGACCATGCCCCAGTTTTTGCACAATTTCGTAACAGGTGCAGACTAGACAAAACAATTCTCCGTGGCAATTCTCGTGGGCAACAACATCCGCAAAAGGCGTTCAAACATTGATGCGCCATTTGAAACCTCATTCATCACCCGCGTCTTGCTTGCTAGAAGGGGACAATAGAACGCGTCCTCAACCACAACTCGCTTCCGTTCTCCTTCTTGCTCTCTCACACCACATCTTCAACGTAGCACTTCGAGAACACTTTATCACGCGTAGTTGAGCCACAGCAAACAGGAGAATCGAGTTGCCATAATTTTACGATATGTCAAGCAATCATTTGGAATCCATCCTCGATTTGGGTCACTATGAATTTCTTTATGTTGCTTTAAGTGTTTCCTCCTCAGCGGCTATGAAACCAAATTAGAAGGATACCGTAGCTGGGTGTGCATAGCTTAAAATCAAAAAGCAGTTAGAATGCTTCTAGCTCTCATTACTTTCCAGCCATTTCTCTTACGTGTCTGGAACATGTTTGAATAGTTGA